CCTCCCTCCCTCCCTCCCTCCCTCCCTCTCTCTCTCTCTCTCTCTCGCTCTCTCTCTCTCTCTCAGTGTGTATAACGCTAAGCAGCACAAAAAGTATCAAAATGGAGAATGGACAGAAGAACAAGTGTTTCTGGAGTTCTTGAAGAAGTTTGACTCACCTAATGACCCTGATGGACAAGTAGGAGAAACAAAACTCACTCCCTTCCTCTCTCTCTCTCTCTCTCTCTATCTCATCCTTTCTCGTTAAAAGTTACAAGTTATATTGTTTCTTTCTCTCTCTCTCTCTCTCTCTCTTCCTCTCTTTTCTCAGGTCACCAGAGATGAATTCATCAATTATTACGCTGGAGTGAGTGCCTCCATAGACAGTGATCCATACTTTGACCTCATGATGAGAAACGCCTGGAAACTGTAGTCTACATGTACCACCAAGTATCGCCACATGAAATAACTAATAGGAGCTTAAAGTGTAACTATACTGCACTAATAGATACATGTACATGTACACAATCTTGAGATGTTTTTTCATGCTAGATAAAAATGCTTTCACACTCTCCTTTTACACTCCTTTTTGTAAAATAATAATAATTATTATTATTACTATTAATATTATTATTTTGTGGCCAGTTAGAACTAAACATTATTACATGATTATTATTATAATTAATTTTATTAGTAATTTTTATAAAGTCACTGACTAGTGGTGTGGTGTAGTACATGGTCAATGAGTCCAAAATCTTTAGCTTCAGTAGGAGACAGGAACTTGTCACGCTCAACTGCTGACTCTAATTAATAAACATTAATTAATTAATATTATTAATTAATTATTATTAATTATACCTATATCACTCAGGGGCCTCTTAGTATGTATTGATAATAGATTGTTCAGTAATGACTTTGATTTTAATATCTCTTCAGCCTGTATGGCAATATCAGTAGCCTGACCCTGTAAACAACAAACAAAATATAAAGAATAAATGTTATTATTATTATTATTATTATTATTATTATCACATACCCCAGCGTAGCCATGTGGTTGGTGTATCATTATATTAGAATTAGGTAGTGAGTATCGGTGATCAGCTGCTCCAGCTGCTAACAGGAAGGCTCCCATAGAGCAGGCCCGGCCCACACACCAGGTACCGACCGGTGGACCGATGTACTGCATAGTGTCGTAGATACCCAGACCAGCTGTGACTGATC